AATAAACCGCTGTGAATCCATCTGTACCTGGAGCTTTACCAACCTTTAATTGTTTGATTGCCCCCTTAATCTCCTCAACTGTAATTAAGCTATTCATTTTTTCTCTTTGATTAACAGACAATTTAGGAAAATGTGCTTCCTGTAAGTACTTATCTATTTCTCCAATTTGTATTTTTTCAGAGGCATACAACTTAGAATAAAACTCCAAAAAACTCTTCTTAATAAAATTTTGTTCAAATGTCACTTTACCATTATAATCTATTTTCTCTATAGTTCTTGATTTCTGTTTTTTCCGTAATTGATAAGACAACCACCTTCCAGGTTTATTTGCATTACAAAATGTATTATATTTCATGTACCTTAAACTAGTCGCTGTCTGGTCAGCTATTAACATATTAAATTGTTCCCTAAGCATATTTATAGATACTTTTAAATTATTATCCAGCGGATTTAAAATAAAAGCCTGTTCTTTCAATTTGATCTCCTCCTCTAAATCTTTTCGTTTTTGTGCTTGCTTTCTCTTATGAGCAGTATTCATAGAGATCAAAATACCTCTCATATAGGCTTTACTAGCATCCCAAACTATTGACATCAGAGTACCTTTATGCATATTTAACAAAAAAAATTCTTTCAAATAACCCTTACACTTCTGAACATTCATTTCATATCTAAACAAATTTTCATTCAATCTCCAAGATCTTCTCTTTCCTTCTTCACCAAATAATTCCATCCACACCGGACTATGATCAGACAATGTCCTGGGGAAGATCTTAACATTCTTCACCCTGGAAAGAAAGTCATTAGTTATCAAAAAAAATCAATTCTCGAATAGGATTGATGCCTATCCGAAAAAAAAGTATAGTCTTTCTCATCCATGTTTCTTTCCCGCCATATATCCTCTAGTTCCAATTCTTCTTTCAAATCAAAAAAAGTTTTAGGCAATGTTGAATTAAAAGCTTTGCAGGAACCTTTCTTGTCTATTCTTGAATCCAAGACTCCATTCCAATCTCCCATCATAATAACAGATTTGTAATCCATTTGATTTAGCTTCTGATGTATCAATTTATAAAACTTGGAGCATATAATGAATTTGGAGCATATAATCCAATAATTAAACATTTCTTCCTGTTCAAAAGCATTTCAATAAAAACGTATCTTCCTTCTAAGTCAAAATCAATCAGTTTAGGCAAAAACTCATTTTTAACATAAATAACTACCCCACCTTTTTTCTGAGGCACAGGTGCAGTAAAATGTGTTCCCAACCGTGAATTAATCAAATACTTTTGATCTTTTTCTGTAATATGAGTCTCTTGTAAACAAATAACATCATTTTTATGTTGCTTCAAATAATAAAATACCTTTTTTCTCTTCTGCGGTGAATTCAAGCCATTAACATTCCATGTCAGGAATCTTGCCATCTTTAGTGGCAGAGAGCCTCAGGAGCGCCCCTTGCATATCAGCCGACACTGATTTCTTTGGTCTCGCTCCTCCCACTGACTCTGAAGTTACCTGTTGGTCTATAGGTGCCTCCTCCAATCTTCGTTGCTCTCTTTGCTCTCTTTCTTTACGTCTATGAGCTGCACGAGTCAACCTCTGAGATTTCGGATCATCTTTGTATTCCAAAAGTTGTAACTCGGCTTGATCTTGTGATTTAATGCCATTTGATGATGAAGTAGCTTGAGCTTTGTCTTCTTGACTTCTTTCCTTCCTAATACCTTGTGGGGATGCTAAATGACCTGCTTTCAAAATTGAGCTGTAAAAGTCCTTTGCTTTCGCCACCGTGTTAAGACGATAACGCACTCCCATGTAGTTAACCATTATGCCAGCTGGTATCTCCCATCTGAATTGTATTTGTCTCACTTTCAATTCTTCAGCCAAAAAAGCAAAATCTTTTCTTCTTCTGAGTATCTTTGGTGGTATTTCTTTTAAAATTATCACATCTTGGCCTAAGATTTGAAATCTTTGTTTATAAAAAGCCTGAATAATTTCATTACGAATTGACTTCTTTGAAAAATAAATCACAACATCTCTTGGAAGATTTTTCTGTCTCGCCACCCATGAGTTAACTCTAAACATTTTTTCCACTTCTCTCTTTAATTCTTCAGGTTGGCAGGACAAAA